ACCAGGGAAATTTGGCTCCCTCCCATTTCCAGGTGAAACCGGAGAGCTGTTGCCAGGTCCAGTGTGAGATGGAGCCATTTTCTGAACTGCTGGGGTTCCCACGGAGTTACTGGATCTCTGTCAGGCCTCTTACCGTCTACCAGAGCATGTCTCCTGCTCATCTTTAGCTGACTGCCTTCTTGGGGGCCTCAGTTGGAAGCCAAGGACCTGATGCAATGAAATGCTTCACCACAGGGTCCCGTATCCACGTTTTCCAAAGTGCTTCTGACATGCTCTGGGGGAATGAAGAGGATGGAGTTGGTACATGGCTTGGAACTCCCTTCTCTTCACCTCCCAGAAGATCCCGTCCTCAGTCCCTACAGCTGAACAAGGAAAGCTGGCCACCTGAGCACATATGATGGGGCTGGACTACTCTGAAGGCATGAGTGCTGGATTCAGGATGCATTTCTGAGAGGTCTCAAGACACCACGGAGGAAGGAGCACAACAACCTGGAGCCTGATGTCTTTGCTGAGGGCACAGAGGAGAGCCAGTCCTATGTGCATGAGCATGACAAGGGAGCACTTCACTAAGCCTGGGACACCAATGACACCAAGTGGTGGCAGTGGACTTTCACAAACATCCCTCTGAGCCTGCTCCTCCTCATGGGGCAGTCCCTTAACTAAACAGAAACAAGTGGTGAGGGTGGCTCGTCTCCATTTCTCTTATCTCACTTCACATCCTTTTCCCATGCCTGACGTCATACCATGGCCACAGATTGTGGGGGAAGTCCAGGAGACCAGCTACGATCACAGATGCCCATGCTCAACTCAAACTGTCAGGGTTTCTGAGGATTTGTGCTGCAGTTCTGCTCTGTAGTGGTCTGTGTGTGCCAGGGAAGTTGTCCCGGTGACCTCAGTTGGGTCAGTGGCCTTGTTGCATCTCTAAGCTTGTGGTGTGGCAGAAGCAGCAAGCTCTGCTGTGAGCAAGTTCTTGAGTCCAAGCAGCAGTGTTGGAGGGGCAGCCTTGAACCAGAGCAGCAAGGGGAACAAACGCAGAGCTGGAAAAAAACCTGAAGAATTTGCTGTCCACCTTAGCCTGTACACAATGCTTTGGTTCTGGAAACCTCCAAAGAATATGACCTGGTGAGTGATAGGGCATTGTGCTCAGAGACCGTGTGTGCTGTGGACCAGCAGATAAAGGTCAGAACAGCAGATGCCAGGGCAGAGCAGGCAGATTGCCAAAAAATGGTATTCCTCAAAAGTTTTTCTGACCCTCTCAGTCTGTAATTTAAATTGAAGAGTGATTGGGGGGTTTGGGGCTTGGGTGGTTGCTTGCCCGCGTGAGAGGAGGAGAAGCACTGGAACAGTCAAGCAGTGGAGCACATCAGCCAGCCTTCACACCTGGAGGTTTTCAAGACCTGATGGGACAAAGCCCTGAGTAACCTGGTCTGACTCCAGAGCTGACCCTGTTTTGAGCAGATGGCTGGGCTAGAGATCTGCTGAGATCCTCTCCAGCCTGGGTTATCCTATGCTTCTAGGACGGAGTCCAAGGCAGGTGCTGGACACTTTGCTTCGCAGCAACATGTGGCTCAGGGGGGAGGCAACATTGCTCCAGCAGTTTCCATGCCAGTTCAGAGGAGGAGGATGAAGAGGTGATCCCCTCAAATGGACTGCTGCCCATGGAGGACCCATGTTGGGGCACATACATCCCCAAAGGGACTGCGGCCCGTGGATGAGCCCATGACAGAGCAGTTACAACACCGATGGAAGAAGTGAGCGTCAAGCACTCGCGCTGGAGCACAGGAAAAGAGCAAGAAGTAAGGAGCACCAGAGAGGAAATCGCTATGACCCGACTGCACCCCCTGCTGTCGCCTGTTGGTTCCCCAAGGGGACCGAGTGTGACCTGCAGTGATAAGGGGGAGGAGGAGAAGGAGGAGAGATGCTTTCCCCAAGGGTGAAAATGCTTGGGAGGCTTCGTTTGTTTTCAAAACCTGAATCGGTACTCAAAGATTATATTAATTGACAATAAATTAAGCTAAAATCCCCAAGTCGAGTCTGTTTTGCCCCTGACCTCCCCGTCTTTATCTTGACCCACAAGATAGCGGTGAGGGGAGACGGGGAACAGACAGGCAGGCAGTGGGACAGGTTCCTGCTGGGCGGGTGGGAGAATGAAGATCTCACCTGGGTATTTCACGGTAGGTTTCTGCTGTGATGTTCAGGAACCTGCTCGCCCTCCTTTGAGCTTGCCTGGGCAGCATGTGAGCTGGCGGTCCCATGGTATGACATCAGGTCAGGGATCCCATTAGGCTGTCAGTCCATCAACACTGCCGGCTGAGAGGCATCTGGTCTGCTCCAGTGTCAAACATGATACGCTATGTCATTATTTTTCTTGCTTGTAATTAGTTTTAAGCCAAGGCTTTGCTACAGCTAATGAAAGGCAAGCTGGGGGTCACAGAATCACAGAATGGTCAGGCTTGTAAGGGGCGTTCAAAGATCATCCAGTCCAGCCCCCCGCCAGAGCAGGGGCACCTCCAGCAGTGGCACAGGACGGCGTCCAGGCGGGTTTGGGATGGCTCCAGAGGGGGAGACTCCCCCACCTCTCTGGGCAGCCTGTGCCACTGCTCTGCCGCCCTCACAGCAGAGAAGGCCCTCCTCAGGTGGAGATGGAACTGCCGATGGTCACGTTTGTGCCCGTTCCCTCTTGTCCTGTCACTGGGCACCACTAAACAAAGACTGGCCCCATCCCCCTGGCACCCTCCGTTGAAGTATTTATAAGTGTTGATGAGACCCCCTCTCAGTCTTCTCTTCTCCAGACTGAAAAGCCCCAAGTCCCGCAGCCTTTCCTCATCAGAAAGATGCTCCAGTCCCCTCATCATCTCCGTAGCCCTTTGCTGGACCCTCTCCAGCAGTTCCCTGTCCTTGACCCGGGGAGCCCAGAACTGGACACAGTGCTCCAGATGTGGCCTCACCAGTGCAGAGCAGAGGGGGAGGATGACCTCCCTCGACCTGCTGGCCACAGTCTTGTTGATGCACCCCAGGATGCCATTGGCCTTCTTGGCCACCAGGACACATTGTAAGCTCATGGGCATGCTGTCGTCCCCCAGGACTCCCAGGTCCCTTTCCCCAGAGCTGCTCTCCTGTAGGTCAGCCCCCAACCTCACACACACACATCCCCAGCGCACAGCAGTAAGCCTGGGCAAAAAAAATCCAGGTTGGAAGAAGGCTTCCTGCACGATAGACTGCAGAAGGACAGTGGGACACCTCTTGAGCGAAGCTGGTGGGTAGGAGACCATGAAGGACACAAGAAGGGAATAGAGACTGCTGTGGTGCTACAGATGGGTCGCTCAGCAGCAGGTTGGAGAACCTGGGAGGGCTCCAAGCAGAACCAAGGCGATGCTCTGCCTGAGGGCTGCAGCTGTATAACTGCTCCAGTGCGGCAGGGGAGGCTTGGCATGATCTGAACCATCATCACGTGCCTGCTGGAAAACTCCCTGTTAGCTTGGTCCCACTCTCCTGAAGGATGAAGGGCCCTAGCATTGGGGCATTAGATGGGAGCACCAGGTTTTGAAGGCAATGCCTGGGGCCAACTAGCTGTATGACGTTTGGGTTTTTACCCATCAAATGCGACCTCTGAACAGCTGAGAAAACACCAACTCTGAAGGCTCAAAAGCCGGGCTGTAAGCGGAAAACAAAGGCTCATTTATTGGTCTAAGATCTGTTGGCCAACACGTGGGGTTTGTGTTTGCTGCATGGGGGATGCTGGGTCTCCATTACAGAAGCACACTGTTCCCAGCTGCCAACAGCCCGGCAATTCCTGCCAACAAACCCAGGAGTGGCACCCAGGGGACAAGACGGGGGGACATGCGGGCAGTTGGACCACTCTGCAAATAACCTGCAGGCTCATTTTTTCGCAAACATGAGCAGCACGGATGCTGCTTGTGCCCACAACAGGGCCTACACCCCAAGGTTAAGCTCAGAGGAGTGGTGACCCCATCGCCCAACCGATCTCTTTTCCACCTCCCAGAGTTACCAGCCTGCCCCAAGCAGGACCTGGGGATCCTGTGATGTCCTCAGCTGTCCCCTACACTGGTGGCTCCAGCTCTCACCTGGCTTGGGACATCCTGTGACATTGGCAGTGGGTTTGCAGCACCATATCATCTCCTGAGAAGCACCTCCAGGCCTGGGGCTGGGCAGGAGGCGGCGCTGCGCCATAATGTGAGTGGGCCAGGGCATCGGTGCCTGCATGCCCTGCATCTCCTGGGATGGAGACCAGCCATTCTCTCCTGCAGCTCCCCAGAAAAGGCTTTGGAGCTGCCGCTGCCTTTCCCTCGCTCAGGAGTAAGTTCTTGCAGGAGCAACATGTTCATAAACACCATCTGAGCTTCAAGCCATCCTTGAAGTGATAGGGAGCAAGGTGGGAAGGTCTCCTACCGTGGCTTTCTCGCCTCTACTGGTCATCAGCACATTGAGGTGCTGGATCATCCCTTGAATGGTGTGATGTGGCTCTGGGCTCCTGGGAGAAGGGCTCTCCTCCCTGTGGGAGCTCAAAGGTTCAGGTTGAATTTAGAATCAATAAGTGGGGAAAAGCTTACAGTTTCATTTACGGCATCATTCTGTGATCTGCTGCCAGGTTTAGTTCTGCCTGGGGACATCCCCAGGGGCGGCTGGGGGACATCAGGCATATCTATGAGCAGCACTTTCAGAAGGTGTGGAACCAGAGCCTGTTCATGGGGCTGTGCTTCATCACTCATTTGGGGCAGCCCCAGTTTGTGGCCTCCTTCAGCTGTCCTGCCCCATGGAGGACCTCAGGGCCGTACCTCCGCCCATGCGAGCGCTTCACTACCTGCACAAGGTGAAGGTGCACCAAGCAATCATCCCAAAGCAGGCGCACAAACAGGCTGAATGTTTCACGGGCAGCACCTGCACATGAAGGACAGCAGAAGAAGGTCCAGCCAAGGCCAACGAGCCCGCAGTAAACCCCGGGGCCTCCCCCACCCTCCCAACCCTCAAAAAGCCTGAGCTGGTTTGTGCAAAGAGCCAGTTTTATTCACAGGGGTACATCAGACATCACAAAAGCAGAAAACATAGAAGAAATATACAGGGAAGCTCTGCTTTTCATACAAGCAACCACTATTAACAATATTACAGAAAGAATAAATAAAAGTGATGTTGCTACAGTAACCCACAAGGACGATGCTCTCCTCCGTTTGCCATGCACGGCCGAGCCTGCAGACCTCATCCTCCACGGCTGTGCTTCTTCAGTTTGAAAAATACTTCTCCAGCACCTTTGTTAAAAGCCCTGTCTCCTACAAGAAAAGGCACAACGGTGAGACATGGGGTGCCACGCTCAGCCTCCACCAACATCACCTGCTGGTTACCACGGGGCAGGAGATCAGACAAATGTCCCAGGCTGGGCCAGGACGGCACTTTCAGGGGTGGCTCAAGATAGCACATGAGAAGGAAAGAGCCAGAAGCTTGGCTCCTGCCTCCCATCCTCTGCTCCAACAGCTGGACCACAGCTGACAGACACCGGAGGCAAACTTCACCCCACCGAGAGAGCAGCCACTGGGCTTCAGGAACAAGAGCAGCCTCAGGGCCTGATTCAGCACAGCCCTACGCAAGGGAAAAAGAGACACAAAACGCAGCAGGGAAGAGTTACAGAGGGATTTTGTGGGATTGCATACCACCCAGAGGTCCCAGAGATACGCAGGGCAGCATCTGCCTTCACACAGAAAGAAGAACTCTCCCCACACCCCTGGAGCTGTTCTGCTCCACAAACATGGCCTCACCCTGTCTGTCTCCTGCAGAAATACTGCCACACACCCAAGAAGATGACAAGGGACAGGGACGATCCCCCTCTGCCAGCCAAATCCTTGTGACACACAGCAATGGGGCGGCACCGTGAAGCCCCAGCGGGCTGAGAGCCAAGCCCTGCCTGCCACAGGTGGTTAAAAGGACAAAACAGACATCCCTGCTTGTGCAAACCCTTTCTGGTCTGCGTGATTTCTGCCATCACAAGCACGGAGCAGCACACGGGCTCCTGCTTTGCAAAGCCATGGGAAACATCTTGAGACAAAACCCAACGGCAGCGGGCAGGACTAACCCATGCGAAGGGACAGCAAGCAAAAAGACTAAGCGCCGGGATTTATTTAATGCTTAGAGGGGCTCCACAGAAAGGAAGAAGCCGTTTGTGAATGATCAGTGACACCCTGAAAAAAAGGAAAAGCCCACTGGGTTTTTCAATAAGTCAAGTTCCTTTGATACTTACCCCACCATGAAGCACAGCACATGTGCTGGAGCAGCAGAGCAACACTTACAGAGCACGTTAATTCCTGCTTTGCTGACCAGGGGGTCCCAAGGAAGGCAGAAGCATCTTTATTTTTCTAAACCGAGTACGAGATGGAAGTGACAGGTGCTGAGCAGGGGGTGGACAGAGAGTTTCAGGGAGCAGAGCTATTAGACAGCTTGTTAGGCAGGTGGCAAACACGGCACACAGATCAGTTCAAGCACAGGCTGGGTGCCGACCTCAGGCATCCAACAACAGTCGCACTGAGGGAGAAAGCTCTCAGCGTGGCAGGAATTTGTGTTGACACCCTGTCACCCGCAAAACCTAGAAAAAATAAGGTCCTACAGAAAAGCATAACACAGACAGCACTCAAAGGCACCAGGGAGAAGTAGTCCTGGAATACCAACTGGCAGCTCAGAGGCAAGGATGCCCTGGGGGACCGGTGGCGAAGAAAGGAGAGGGAAAACAGATGACTCTAGTGAGGTGCTCAGAGGTGCCTGAAGGGCTGGGTGATAGGTCTGGTTCTGCAAGGTCTCCACTGCCATCGAGAGGATGGCTGGCATACCGGGGCACTGGCTGAGGAGAGGCAAGAGGCTTTGGGAGGAGAAGGTGAGGAGTAGGAGCCAGCTGCCCATCAGGCACCTACGCTGTGATGCCACACGTGTGCAGGGTGTCCCACCTCCCACCAGAGGCATCAGCGCAGTGAGGCAGGCAGCTGGCCAGCATCTGCTTGACCATAAGCCAAGTCGCCTCCAGCTCCAGCAGAGCTCTGACACTCAGCACACGTGCCAAAGGCTGGTGTCCACTGTTGGGTGGGACCCCTGGCCAGGACCTCCCTTTGAGCACTGGGGAACGGGCACCGACGGGGCTGGCAGGGCACCGGCACCCAGCTGGCAGCCTAAGACACAGCACCAGTGCTTGGGGCAGGCTCTGCCCAAGCTCATCTGCAGCGCGAGCAGTGACTGCATGACTAACCTACAGAAGAGAGCCACAAAGATCACTTCTATCAAACTCAAAACATCTTAGCAGACGAGGCAGGGCAGCACATCCACCTGTCACCTCCAGCAGTCAATGCAGCAAATGCCCTCCTCCTCAAAGGCTCCCCAGAGACACTGGAGAAGGGTCCAGGACCTTCACAGCCCTCTCCTCCCTTTCAGCAGTATCTGAGACGCAAAAGCTGTAGCAGCACAGCAGCCGCAGCACAGCGGCCACAGCACCCAGCATCTTACGGGGAGCAGGGTGCACTGGTGTCTTCAGCCATGCCCAGCTGTCTCTTCATGGTGGAAGGCCCTCTCCCGATGGGACCAGCTCTCTAGGAAAGTCGCAGTTTACCTTAGTCTGCTGAAACCAAGTCACAAAGGTGCTTGAAACAATCAGGGCCACTCAGGCTCACATCCCTACACCTCTGCTCCACCCGTGCCTTCCCAAAAAAAGCAAAGAACAGGAGCAAGCACAACCTAAACCTGGATAACAGAAGTAGCTTTACCTGTGTGCAGAGAGCTCCTCAAGTACAGCAGCTCAGTGGGACAGCACATGTAGGACCCACCTAAGAGGATTTCATCCCTTCTAGGCACTCAGTTACTTCCTGCACTGACTAGAAAGGGTGAGACACCAGGGAAGCACGCATGAGGTAACAGACAAGCAGAGCCACACAGACTGAGCAATTCCATCTCTGCATCCTGTGTGAGGATCTGTGTGTGCACGCGCATCGCTCCCAGGGGTAGGTCTTCCACTAGGAGTTGCATGAGCTCCGAGGCAAAAGCCACACCGAGGAGGTTGAGGATCTGCTGATGCACAGCAGGACCACTGGAGCTCCCGCCTACTCCCTGAGACCCACTCTGCGGTGGTACAGTAACGCACAACTCCCCTCTGCAGGGCAAGCTAACAGAGCTACGTGCCCCTTGGTAACCAGGGATCCCAACCACAGCGACACAGATCCAAGATGAGGGCATCAGAAGCCCAAGACCTCTTTGCAGGACAGACCCCTTTCCCTTCACGTATGGAATTGTGTCCCTCTTGGCCTCTTTCTACAGAAACAGAGGGGTGAAAGGATTTCTCTGTCCCTGCAGTGGCTGGAAAAGGGGACATTTCTTCACGGCAGCCACAGTGGCCAGCCATCCCCTCCTCCATCTGGCCGAGGAAGACCTTGACACTTATTAACAAGCCCTGGGCTGGAGATCACCACTGCCACAGCTCCATCAAAGCATCCCTCGTTCATCCTCACACCATTCCCAAGCATTTGGGAGTATTAGCCACTGCCCAGCTAGACACACGCCTAGGGAGGTTTCTCCTCAGCCCCTTTATGGCTGATCTTAAGAAGTGGTTTAAGGAGGGTTAACAGAAGCAGAACGTGGGGGAATACACCTCTAGCAGCTGTACAGATGCTCCCATCTCCAGCAAGGCTGCCTGTTGCAGATTACCATCTCCACCACCTCCCTGCTCTAAGCGTCTCCCTCCGTCTCAGTCAATATTCACCTGATCAGTGAGGTCATATTTTCCTTGGTTCTCATCCAAAAGTCTCTCTTGCAAGAGGATTTTCAGGAGCTCACGGGTAAGCAGTTCCATCATGTCCTCCAGCAAGGCTCTGAGAGAAGGACCGAAGACCATCGGCACCGCAGGCTCCTCCGGCGACTCCAGGTGCGGGGAGCCCGTGACACTCTTCTTCCCCATGAAGTGACCTGCAATACAACGCACTTGTGTGCCTGCACAAACGCCGGGCAGGAGACGGGCAGGGGCCGGTATCTGCTACCTCACGCCAACACAAGTCAACACGAAGCACTCAGCAAGCCTAACGCCTAAATTAGCAAGTATAACAGAGTGAGGAGATACCCAGAAATCCCAGGTCCACACAGGACTTTGGGGAAACTTCCCTCTCCGGCTGACGGGACCCCTGGGGTTCCACAGATGCTGGACCTACCACATCCCTGCCCTTGGTCTTCTCCTGCCCACCGCGGGTCCAGCATC